GCCTGGCACATTACAGCTCTGTATCATCTCATGTGACACAACCAGGCTGTGAGGCGGTCACGTCACCTTACCCTTTCACAGATGAGATGCAAACTCAGAAATATTCAGAGATTTAGCTGTGATGGATTGGGCTATCATCAACTTGTGGATGGTGGGAGTTTCTCAGAATCTCTTTCCCTATCTATATGGTTCCAAGCTAGAGTTGGCCAGAGTGAAGTGGTGAGGCCTGGGAGGTGAATGAAGCATGGGCCATTATGTTCCGAAGGTTTTCATTGTGTAACTGAACACAGATCCAGACGTTCACTGCCTGCAGAGTCCAGTTAACAAGAACGAGGCCTGGTAGAAAGAAAGTGACTTTATTCACTAAAACTAGCAAATAGGAAGTGGCCAGGTTCCCATCCAAAGCAACACCTTCATTTTCTGGGGGAGAAGGCAGAGGTTTAAAAAAGGAAAACATGATGTGGAAGGCTTGCAAGAATTGCGTGGAGTACAATGTCTGTGTACCTTGTTCTGGTGGCTATCTTGAGTCCCAGTTTACCTGGATCTTGGGCTGGTGTCATCTCAACAATGGGGGAGCTGTTGACTGGCCACCTTGGAGTCATCTCTGGAGCCTTGCAGCTGGGTCTCCAGACTTGGTTCATCTGTCTCAAGATTACCCCCAGGAGCTTCTAAGAAGGGACAAAATTAGAGGCTAGCATACAGGTAGATAAATATGAAGGGAGTATTGATGGTGAGAAAGGGAGGGATGTGGAGTTCATCTTAAGACAAAGGGGAAAAGACTTCTGCAACTTGCTTCAAGGTATTGAGTTGTGCTGCTGTATGTGTAAAACACCCACTGTATTATGCCCTCCTTGTGTTGATATAATGAAATACCTGAAGCTGGGTAATGTATAAGAAGAGAGGTTTAGTTCAGCTAGGTGCGGTGGCTCATGCCTGTAGTCCCAGCACTTTGGGAGGCCAAGACAGGCAGATCATGAGATCAGGAGTTCAAGACCAGCCTGACCAACATGGTGAAACCCCACCTCTCCTGAAAATAAAAAAATTAGCTGGGTGTGGCAGTGCACACCTGTAATCCCAGCTACTCAGGAGGCTGAGGCAGGAGAATCGCTTGAGCTGGGGAGGTGGAGCTTACAGTGAATCAAGATCGTGTCATTGCACTCCAGCTTGGGCGACAGAGCAAGGCTCCGTCTCAGAAAAAAAAAACAAAAACCAAAAAACCCAAGAGACATGAAGAAAAAGTTTAAAATGCATTTTGCAGTTAAGCTGCCCACTTACAACTGATCAGAAATGGTGAGAGACGCAGTGGAGCTGGCATAGGGTGCAAGTTCGTCTTCACTCTTCCTTGCCCCCATCCAGCTTTCTTTCCTGATTTTCAGCCCTGCTAACTTGTAGTGAGCTCAGGTCCACCATGCCATGGTGTACTCCGCTCGACAGACCTCACACCATTCCTGTAATAGGTTGTTGCTGTATAATACTCACAGTTTCACTCCCAGGTTTGAGCTCTGACTGACACATTACCCATGGTCTCCAGGTGGGAGGTGCTGTGTTTTTAATACTCTCTCTATTTTTTTACTTTTATCACTCACTATATTTGACTGTTATGACTTCTATCTTCATTATTCTTTCTGCATCAGCCATGTTCATTTTCAAAGGGATCTTTCTTAATGATAATGCCCTTGAACCAAAAACTAAGGAGTTAATTATAATAGTAGAAAACGATCATCTATACAAGTTTCATGATTTATAAGAACAATGGAAATTGCTTGGCTTTCTGAACGTGAAAATACAGTTGATTAGAAATAGCACACATGAGGAACTCTGGTTTCATGCAAAGTTGAAGGAAATTCTCCTGAAATTAAAAATGCACCCAGAATAGTTCATGAAGTCCAATCGATTGAAAGGGTTTTCAATTCTGTTTGATATCCATCTTGTCAAGGATCAACTTTTAGTTTTGTGAATGACATGGTTTTTCTCTGCTTCCCCACCCAAATCTCACCTTGAATTGTAGTAATTCCCAGACGTCAAGGGCGGGGCCAGGTGGAGATAATTGAACGTGGGGGTGGTTTCCCTCATGCTGTTCTTGTGATAACGAGTTCTCAGGAGATCTGATGGTTTTCTAAGAGCTTCCCCCTTTGCTAGACTCTCATTCTCTCTCCTGCTGCCCTGTGAAGGGCACGTTCCTCCATAACTGTAAGTTTCCTGAGTCCTCCCAGCCGTGTGGAACTCTGAGTCAATTAAACCCTTTTTCATTATAAATTAACCAGTCCCAGGTATTTCTTCACACAGCATGAGAACACACTAATACAATAATATTCTCTATCTATTTTGTCAGGTCATTGAGCTCTGCTCTATTGTTTATTGTTTCCTTCCTTCTGCTTGCTTTGGGTTTAGCTTGCTCTTCTTTTGCTGGTTTCCTGAGGTGTAAGTTACTGATTTGAGACCTTTCTTCTTTCTTTTGTGTGTATACATATATATATATAAAATATATATATTTATCTTTTTTTTTTTTTGTGTATATATATATATAATATGTATATATTATATAAAAGAAAGAAAGATAATATATCTTTCTTTTATATAATATATACATATTATATATATTTTATATATTATACGTATAAAATATATATCTATTATATATAATATTGTGGTTTCC